TTTATTCATGGGTCAACACCGATGTTGCTGTTGTTCTATAGACAGTTTAACAGATACTCAAGTGCAATTGTTGTTCTTCACATGTAGAATCCATGGCCTAAAATCTGGAAAGCTATTGAAAGAGTTTCGTGGCCATACATCTTATGTGAATGATGCAATTTTCACAAGTGATGGAAGTCGTGTTGTTACTGCCTCCAGTGATTGTACAATCAAGGTCAGCACCTCAAAACATACTGGGGGTGTGCGCTTTTTGTCCTCCTTAGTTCATGAGAAATAACTTGTTTTCTCTATATTTGTAGGTCTGGGATTTGAAATCTACAGATTGCATACAGACTTTTAAGCCACCTCCTCCTTTAAGGGCAAGTATTCAGATACTTATGTCATTAAGTCTCCTTGTTATTAAGTTTTGTACATTCATTTTTCCTGTAAATATATTCTGCCTAATATCTGGTTCCTTATGGACTGTTAGGGAGGTGATGCTTCAGTTAACTCCGTTCATATTTTCCCAAAGAATACAGATCACATTGTTGTATGTAACAAAACATCTTCGATATACATCATGACACTTCAAGGGCAGGTATTCATCGGACATCATATTCCTCTTCCCACTCACCATGTTCCAGTACTGGATCCAAGACTGATGACATTGTTTTCCCATTTTTGTTTTTTGTTTCCCTTTAAAATGTTGTATGAGAAGGCTAAATTTATAGTTTTGCGTATTCATGTTGGTAGATATCTAGTTTCAAACACTCAGATTCGGTTGGAGGAATGGTCCTTCATCCTATCTGTGCATGTGAACTGCAACTGCTGTTATTCATTGAGAAATTCTTGGATACTATACGAGTAACAACTCATCTATATATTCTTTGATAGAAATATACCAATTTGATAAACATAAGGCTACTTGTCATTAATTTTTAATTTATACTCCCTCCGGTCCTAAATATAAGACCTATTTTGTAGTGTAAATTACACTACGAAATGGGTCTTATATTTAGGACTCGAGGAGTAATATTTTTATTATTTTCTTTTAAACAGCTCTTTTATTCTCATGTTGTCTTCTTTGGTCCTCTCTCCTTTTCTCTCTCTTTTTTACGCTCCTTTCTGCTCCATTCCCTCTTCTCTCATCATCCATCCTCAAATTTCATTCTTTCACTCCCCTCATTCTTCTATCCATATTTTTATTGTTTACAAGGGATCCAGATTTACCAACTACTAGTTTGAACATAATATTTCTTTGTTTATTAGAAAAGAATAAAAAGGTTTCTCTACAATTTCAGAAAGAATGAATAATTGTAGCATCTTAAAGCTAGCTCTGTTATCCTGTTCTTCTCAGCATACTTTTTCTTTTTCTTCTTCCTGATATTGATGTAGGTTGTGAAGAGCTTCTCGTCCGGTAAAAGAGAAGGTGGAGACTTCGTTGCAGCATGCGTTTCACCTAAAGGGGAATGGATATACTGTGTTGGTGAAGACAGGTACTTGCAGATATATGTTTGATAACCTTGTTCCTTCATGCAATTTCATAGACAATGATGTTTATTGAATCCTACGGAGCGATTTGGCCAATAAAAAATAAACTAATAAACAAATAAAAAAGATAAAGAATCTTATAGAGCCCAATTTATGTCAATTTATGATTCACAATTCTCCATCTTTTTTCACACGCAAGAGCTTTATCTGCTCTTTACTTTCTCAAAATATGATTATTTCATCACGTTATGATGGAAAGAGAGTCACAAAAATTGGTTATGAAATCTTAAATTCAGTTATCTACCCTTATGATTCTGATACTCAGTTATTTTGGTTAATTCACCTTAATGTTATTCTCACATGTTATCTGCAAATAAAATTCAGGAATATGTACTGCTTCAGCTATCAATCTGGCAAATTGGAGCATCTAATGAAGGTATCTTTACTTTGTTGCTGTTGTTGGTGGTGGTGTTATTTATTTTGATCAGCATATCTACTTGTACGTATCATAAAATAGTGTAAAACAGTTGCTTGTAGTTGCCACTTCAATTTTTAAATTGAGGGCTGGTGTCAAAGTGTGGATTTAACATGAAACTAGATATGTTTTCTCCGAAGAAATAGTTGCAATACTCAAGGCTTGTGGACAGTGTGTGTTATGTTAGATAATTTTTTGGGGAAAAAAAAAACTGGGTTAATGTGTAGTTTTGCCCTAAAATTACATGAATGCCTTGAAGAAAATTGTGGAGGATATTGCATATAATCATTCAAAGTTGCTGTAATGTTCCTTCTTATGAAGGTCACCCTTGGGTTAAAAAATTGACCAAAAAAAAATGTTGGGTTTAAAAAAACTCCCAACTTGTACTAATAGTTGACCTGACATTGACCGGATAAGAAATTACAACATTGCACTAGTTTTGAAATATTACGTGCTATATTATTGCATAATTTTATTTAGGGCGATTGCCGTTCTTTCGGAAATACTTCCGAAGTAGTAATGCACTGAACGTTGACCTTTCTTGGTGTTATGCACCGAAGCACAGTTTGGGATGTCTTGGATGGTTTTTTATACATTCTACGTGAATAAACTAGACGGTAATTTGGTTAAAATGGTCGTGCAACTTTTTAGACCTTGGGTCGTTTTTTTCCTTTCCTTGTGTTATGGTTACACGCTGCCAAATCAAAGATGCTAGCTAGTTAGTGTGTGTGTGAGTGGTGTGATCTTAATATATCTCGGGCTAATGGCAGGTCCATGAGAAGGAAGTTATTGGTGTGACGCATCATCCTCATAGGAATCTTGTGGTAACTTATAGTGACGATGGTACAATGAAGCTGTGGAAGCCTTGAGAATGGCTGCCTGGATGCTGCAATTTTTTTCCCTGAATGAACATCTTTTTCCTTCTTGTTTATCTTGTCCCCCCCCCCCCCCCAAAAAAATTTCTGTTTAATTTGGAAGGTTTATACTAGTAGCAGTGAAATTGTAAGTGATAAATTGTATGCCACTGCTACAAAATTAATGTAGCATCGCGCTATTTATTTGTATGTTGTGCGGTTTTAGCTGGGTCTGTGCACCGTTTATCTTGGAAAAACAGGTAGGCGGATAGAATAAATTGGCTTGCAAAAAAAACATATATATATATATATATATATATATATATATAGAGGAAAGTTCACAAAAAAAAAAAAAAACAGCAATAATAAATTAATGAATATTCTTTAAATATTTATTTTTTTTTAGGGAAAATCATATTAAAGGTACCTATACTTTCTCTTAATTTTTAATTTAGTACTTATGTTTTTTTTCTTTTAATTAAACATTTAATTTATCTTTTTAGCAACATTAGCTCTTATAATTTTGTTCTATTGATATTTTTAGTCTCTACATAAGGATTAATGATGTTAATAGAGCAAAATTAAAGATTTAGTTAAGAACAAAAAACACAGGTACTAAATTGAAAATTAAAAAAAAGTATAAATACTTCCAATATGGTTTTTTTTTTTTTTATATACTTAGCTCGTATTTTGTTAACAAAGAATGATATGATTTTTTTTTATTTGGGGTAGTGCTGGTCAGGGTAAGCAATCAGCGCAAGCTGGTCAATCATTCAAGCTTGCTCTATCCATCACCACTAATTTGTCTAATGTAAACCTGTTTCGGCATCCTCCATTGTTCACCTTGAGGCTCTACTAAAAAGGCTTTCTTTTCGATGGGAATGTAAAGAAACGTAATGGTGAAATGTAATGTTGATTATAATAAATTTGTTTGGTACAATGCTAAGAGTAATAAAATTAAATTTATTATTTAATACAAATAAAAGCAAAAGGACAAAAATGTCTTTATCCCATTCTTCACCTTCCTCCTCATCTATCGCAAGTTGTAGCCCTCGCCCCGTCGTTACTGCCCATTGTTTCTCCTTCCTAATCCGCCTTGCTTTCCTCTTCTTCAACCAAGAGCCCACCAAACATTATATAAAAAAAAAAAGAGCCCACCAAACATCCAGATGAAAGGTTTCTTCTTGGGCACAGATCCATTTCTGATGGTGTCCACATAGTTTTATCCATGAAATCGCCATTTGAGATGTGGAGCTCAATGAGGCAAACATTGTCATTAGGCAGTTTCTTAAAATCTGATGAACTATTTTAGTTTGGGGAATGAATCCTTCAAGTGATGATACCATGAGTTCATAATCGACATTGATGAGTTAAGGGCAGGAGCATATAGGAAGGTCGCTGGTGAAGCAGCGTCGACAATGAAGGTGGAGAAAGATGATCGACAAGAACAAATAGTGTCTTTTTTTTTTTTTTTTTAGATTCCTCCGTGTTGTAATCCCCATTTTTTACTTTTAGGAGCGTAATCCTTATTACCTCATATGATGTAATCCTAATACATATGGTAATCCCTTTTAAAACCTAAATGTGCCAAGCAAACATTTGAAAGACGGCTTCGGATCAGAATTACAGGGAATTCTTATGCAGTGCATCGAGCCAAACGTTAATCCACTTACCATGTGCTTTAGGCACTCACTCATTTACATCCTCTTGGTTCTCTGACTTTTCATGTTGTAATAACCATATGACTGACTGACCAATCAAAAGCCTTCTCTTTCATGTCTTCTAATTAATTTCACTATCCAATCTATACATAATAATGCTTATGCTGGTCAATCCTGTTAGTACTATTTCTATACCTTTTGTTCCCCTTATTTGTCCATGATACTCTCTCCGGTTTGAAACAAAAGCATAAAATCTTTAAAGGGGTTTGGTTTTTCTTATAAGCGTCACTTTTGGTTTGTCTGATCATGTAATATAGTTTTTCATTTTTTACTCCTGATTAATTATATATGTTTCCCTCACCTTTTTTCCTCTCATTGAATCTTCATTATGCCAACAAATTCTAAACATAATAACAAAGAAAAATGTGAAGAATAGCTTGAATTCATTTTAATTAAAGCCACTTCATCGAGATGATAAATGAGAAAAAAATGTACAAATGACCAAAACAAACAGAAATCATTCTAAATATTGTATATTTATTAGAACATAGTGCAATCTGTGGGCTTAAAGGAAACAATATTATTTTGAAGGTCAAACCCAACCAACAAGTTCACTTGAGCTAAGTTCCCTGTCAACGATACACTTCGCATCATGGGACGAAAACCAAAGCAAACTCTGCCCGACGAAACTAAAATGAAGGTGTTCATTGGATTTAACTTGACATGTGCATTACTTCTGAAATGAAGAGTAATAATGGGAGCTCCAAAGCTTTCAATGCTTTCTGATGCATACCAAAGGCTAAAAGCTCGTGTTATTCTTGCTTGACCTGATTTAGTCTTCGCTATGACTTCTGATTCCACTTTGAAGTATACCCCTTGAGGTAGTATTGTCAACCTTGACCCAGAATCAATTACTGTGTTGCCCTCTTCAATTGGCCAACCATGCATCTATAAAATAAGGCAAAATTATATAACTGCTGAACTTTATGTTATCTATAACCTTTAAAGCTGGGAAATTTTACCATAAATCCCTCTAAATTCTTACATCTATACATATATAACTCCTTACTAATAGTTTTGTTTATTGCTTATCTCCATATATGTTAAAGGGCTTGTGTGCAAAACATGATTTTAACATTTCATCAGCAAATGATGATGAAGATTCAGACTTTTTGTTTTTGTTGATTAAGTCCACTCCCCCCCCCCCTTTCATCAACAAAATATTGAAAGAATTGGTATATGGTGAATGGACGGGCACTGGAATATATGGACTTCTTACCAAAATTGAACTGTATTCTTTTGTCCCCCGCCCTAATTGCTTCCAACGTAACGTGATAGTAATTGTCATTGTCTGTCTTCACAAGTGGAGTAGAGATAGTCCCAGAACCAGAAACGACAGCTTTTTGACCAAAATTCAACTTGCTTAATTTGTCAGAAAACATTGGAGTCAAACAGTACAAGAATTTGCCTTGAATCGAAGAACCCATTTGTGAGATTAACGAAATTGAACCTCGTCCCAGACCAACAATGCCAGAACTCTCAGAAACAAAGTAACCCGTAGTTTTATCAGCACAGCCAAACAAGGTCTTAGGAAATGCCACTTTACCACCATCAATATCACTTGTAGAAGAAGGAGCAAGTGTGAGCGTATTGTGTACGACGTTCCTGCTGTAAGTGATTTATCCAAATACGATATTTCAAATTGGCAGCTAAAAACGACGTCGCAGAACGTGTTACTTACTGAAGCTTTTGCTACTTTGCATTGATCAGAATTGCAATAATAGGTTCGGTAAGTTATGGAAGAAGAATATAAATCAATAAGAGGCTCTTTTTGTTTGTGACATTCATAACAAGGATGACATTGTAACCAAGTTAGGTCACTGCCTGTGTCAACAACACCATAAGTTTGGAAACTAGGGTTTGCTCCTAAGGAATAGGTCATGACTTATTCTCCATTGGCATATTTGAGTTCAGATTAAGGATAATTATCAACGACAACCTTAGCCTTGGGAAAGGAATGAGTCGCACGTTTCATGGATCGATGAAAAGCATTGAACAATCTCTGAATCGGTGTTGTGGAGTTATCATAGAATGGAGATTGTTGTGGGGAACCTAGGTGTATGAGTTCAACACCAAAACCAAGTTGGGTTGCTCTGGTTAGGAAGAGGAAGCAAGTGAAGATGGTGATGAAGATTGTGGAAGAAGATATAGGGTTTGGAAGATAGTCATTTCTATTCTCATGATGGAGAAAATAAGGGGGAGTATCGTCCATGCAAGGTTGTTTGTTACTTCCTCTGGTATTTAATATAAGAGCCAGATTGACTTTCTATTTGGTTCTAAATATAAAACCTTAATTCATTTTGTCTCTTATATTTATTTATTTTTTCAAGGTAGTCTTTATAATAATTAGACATGTTAAAACTCTCATCAAATATTAAAGCTAATATACTTGATTAGCAATGGTATTATGGAAAAGAGAGCACCTATTTATTATAAATAACTAATTTAACAACTTTCTTAATTTGCTTAAATTAGTTAACTAGCTCTTATACTAAGAATCGAAAGTAGTATAAAGCAAGATACGGATAAGAGATATTTAAAGATCCAATGTATGAGGTTTATGTAAATCGGAATAATGATTTTTAATTGCATATATTCTTGAACCCATAAGGTTCAATGTGCCTAATAACTTTGGAGTATATCAATTTTCTTCTTGAATACATCGTGTCTTAGGTAGATTGTTACTGCTACATATCCAATGTTATCGATCTACACAAGTTCTAGAAGATTTTCTAACCGGTTTTAGAATCGATGTAGAAAGTAATAACTTTCCCTTTTTACTAGTATAAAAGATGCATGTAAAAAACATTACTTTTTGTAATTGTCATCTACTATTAGCTTTTGTCTGTGGAGGGAGAAAAATATGACATAAATTTTTTGTGATTATTTATGTATTATTGATGCCGAATGTTTCAATACATTGAATTGCAACAGTTAGGATTGTTATTTCTGTTTATTTTTTTCAGTAGCACTTGGCACCCTAAAGTTGAAGGCGGCAGTGTGATGTCGTCGCTAAAGCTATAAAGTCAGAGCATTGTTCCTCCATTAAATTTCTATAATTTTAAACGTTAATGGACCGAAAAACTACAAATAAGCTTCTTGTAAAAAAAAATTAATAGTACTTATATTCTCAAAATTACAAATAAATACCAGAGATCAATTAATTTCTTAACTCTTATAAATGATGATCAATACCGGTTTAACTAGTTATTTTATTTTAATTTGATCACCATTGCCGGCAGTGGCACTACTGAGAGCGCATACACACACACACACAGACACGTGTGTGTGTGTGTATTCAAAGTAAGAGATTGTTACATTGTCCAGCAATTGCATATCATTTATCTATCCCCAATAACAGTCCTTGTTTAGAAAGAGAATATACAAGAAGAAAAATTATTGCTTAGATGAGAGAGAAAATGTACATCCATGTAATAAAAAAGCTAAAACAATTAATGCTAATGAGGATTGAGTTTAGCATAAAGGACTAGTCCCTCACAGTATAGCAATCCAATGTTTGAGTTCCCGTTAGAAGAAATGTGCACATTTAATACCCAATAGTATCTCAAACGGAATTATCTCAAATAGGAAAATAATTGTTTTTAGTATTAAAAAAAAGATGAAACAATTAATAAATATAATTAATTTGATTTGAATGTTTGGATTCAAAGCACATCCATTCAACATAAATTACATCTCATTGAAGTCAACCTCGTCGAGAGAAAATAAAGATAGAAAAAGAGAGATATAGGAATAAAATGAACACTACCACCTTTGTATATATGCTCTTCTGGGACCTTAACGTATTTCCCTATTGTGAAGGTCATAGCCAACCAAGACGTTGACCTGTTGGGTGTTCCCTATAAGTACTCGCCCACTTGGAATGGAATGAAAAGCAAAGCAAACAACACTTTGACTCATTCTGAAGAAGCAATTGTTTGGACTCAATATTACATCTGCTTTGTGGCCATTAAAATGAAGAGTGATCATGGCAGCTGGGAACATTTCATAGCTTTCTGATTTACAGCACAGGCCTAGATTGTAATTGAATGGATCATGAGAACGTTCTAATTCTATATTTGCTGCAACTTCTGATTCCACTTTGTCGTAGAAATCTTTTGGCAACATTGAGAATGTTGTCCCTGCAGAATCAACCACCGTGTTGCCCTTCTCTGCAATTAAAAACAAAAACTCTAATTAGTTGTCGGAGGTAGATTATTAATTTGCAGGGATTGAGAAATTAATTAGATTAGTTATTTATAAAAAAACGTGTTGTTGATTATATTCAAATATCTTTTTTAATCATTTTCATTAAAACTATTCCTTAATGAAAACTCTTTTAATGTGTGTAGTAAGGATGACTTGAAAAAAATAAATTACAAATTTAAGAGACATAATGAATTGATATATTATATTTAGGGTCAAAATAAATCTCCTAACTAACACTTATGTTAAGGTATATTGTTTTCCTATTTGTGTTGGTGTAATAAACAGAGTCTAATGAATTAACGTCAATATTAATAATGGGAATTATAAATATAGTAAGCATCAATCAAAGGAATGATTTTGTTTGAAGGATTAAAAAAACCAAGAAAAGAAACATGGATCGAAGATAATGCCCAAAGAAACAAAAACATATACAAACACAAATTAATATAATATTCTTTTTGCTATTGCTGTCTTTTCGAATGTACTGCACATATTATTTTGACATATAATATACATATGGGAAAATGACAAAAAAAACCATCAAAATAGAAAAATTACACACAGGGATTGCTTTATAAAAATTGTTGCTAAAATCCATATTATTGTTGTCAAAACCTATATTAATATTATCATGGGTCCATATTTATAATTTTTTTATTTTGACGGTCTTTTTTTACCATTTTCCCTATATATATTCATGACATAAATATTCGCATCAATCAAAAGATGATAAATATAGCAGATTTATTTATTTATTTTTTGTTGATTGCACAATAATGAAAGCGACTAGGGTTGAATAATCATCCCCTGTTCAGAACTCTATTCTTTTGTCTTCCACACTGATTGCTTCCAATAATGAAAGTTTTTATTACGTTTCGTTGGAAGCAATCAGTGTTTTTGTTTTTTTGTTTTCCACTTTTTGGGTCTTTATTAGTCACAAGGGAAGTAGAAACAGCCCCTCTCCAGAAACAACAGCGTTTTCTCCGAAATGCAATATACTGTTAACGTTAGAAGGAAATTGAGGGAAGCAGTACGAGAATTTGCCTCGAACAGAAGAACTTATTTGTGAGATTAACGATATGGAACCTTGTCCGAGTCCAATAATAATGCCAGAACTATCAGAAGGAAACCGACCAAAAGTTTCATGAGCACAACCAACCAAAATCCTAGGATATGCCACTTTGTTACTACTTACAGAACCAAGGACCAACGTGTCTTGTGCTATAAAACCATTCGCCCGAACCATCTAAATATTCTGCCTCAATTTTGCAGTTGGAAAAAAAACATCCCAAGTGGTTCTGACAGAAGAAGTTGCAGATTTACACTGTTCAGAAGCACAAAAATAGGTTTCGTGAGTTTTGGAGTTGTAGGATTTGAACGAAGGGACATATAATGGATCGAAACATTCATAAAAAAGAATCACATTTTAACCAAATAAGGTCACTGACTGTGTCAAGGGTGCCAGCAGCACTAAAAGAAGGGCTAGTTCCTAAGGAATAGGCCATGATGTAATCACCAAGCTGAGGGATCATTTCGGCTTCAGGATCATCAAAGAAAGATTTAATTTCTGGGAAGAAATGAGTCGCTTGCTTCATAGATCGACGAAAAGCATTGAGTGATTTCTGACAAGGTGTTGTGGATTTATCGTAGAATGGAGAATTTGGAGAATCTGTGTATGATTTCAAGAGAGAAACCTGCTAGGTTGGTTGCATCAGTAATGAGGGATGTGATAAAAGTGTAAATGATGATAAAGATTGTGGAAGCAGAGAGAAGATAGAATAAAGAAGATGATGCCATTTGTTTTGCGAGAGGTGGATACTATAATGAGAGAAGGATAATATCCATATATATATATATATATAGTTGTCAATCATACACATGTAATATACAATGTAAATTCAAGGCCTTTTGGTTTAAGATAATATAATTAAAATTTACAATAATATATATATATATGTATAATCCAACTTGATTGGTTTGCCCAAAACCCTTGACTAGACCGGTCGGGAGACCGATACACTAGTTCACTAATGTTACCGGTAGAACATTTTAATACTATGTAAGATCCGAATGAATGATGTTTAATTGCAGATAGATTCCAAAATCTGTGAGGTATAGATTGATTTTTGGCAGGGCTAGACAAGGCAAGACTCTTTCTTGATACACAGCTTGAAAGATGAACAGGTTGCAAAACCACTACCTAATCTTGTCCACTAAAAGCCCACGCAATTATAGGCAGGACTGAATAGGGTGGGAATATATGGATAAAAGAATTTATAATTATTTGAAATATATTATCTATATACTCCTCCAGTCCTTAATATAAGACCCATTTAATTAATTTGATTAGATTAAGGAAGTTAGGTAAGTTAGTTAATTATAAGAAATGTGACATGTTTTTTCTAAAATACCATAATCATCTTTCTTAATACCTCCTCTTTCTCTTCTACTTGATTATGGTTAAGAGAGTATCAACATGGATAATTTAGAGAAAATTGATAAATATGAGAAATGTGTCTTATATTTAAGATCAAAACTAACTCAACAATTAATTAGGTCTTATATTAAGGACCAGAGGAGTACTTAAGGATGGTCTGTTCTCAAGGCATTAATTACCTGTCCAGATTAATATAGAACACGCATGAAACCAACACTACGCATGGCTCGAGCTATATAACTCAACTTGCCATAATTAAGAAGCGGAAACGAACCAGAGAGATCAATAAAAAGGAAGTGAATTTAAGCTCAGGGTCCGTTGTCTATTCAGAAATGCCAATGTACCATTCGAGATTAGTTCAAGTGATTGATAAGAATAGAATGAAGTATGAGTATATTTGTATTAAATAAATTAAAATTGAATATTTTTATTACTGCTTTTATCAAACATATGCAAATAATCAAATATTCAATGGAGTGGAATAACCAAAATTCGCGTTGCAACTTGATTTTCCCTAAGAAAAATTAAGGATTCGGACCTTATCGACGGATATATAGAATAAAATCACGTTAGCATAGTTGTTTCCAATTATATCAAATAATTTCAAATATAACATCATTGTAATGAATGTATATCGCTGGAATATGGTGCATTCTTTTTGTAATTTTGTTAGCATGTTAAATGTACTACTCTTCCGGTCCTCAAGACCTATTTTGTAATATAAATTACATTATAAAATAGATTTTATATTTAGAATCGGAAGAGTATCCAGTATTAAATGTAGATATTTTACTCAATGGAAACATCTTAGTTTGCTAAGTTATAAGTAACTAGTTCTTCCTGTTAGACCTAACCCCATTGGTGCCTTATAAACTTCTTTTCATGAGCGTAACTTACATTCACGCATGTGTACTGAAGTTTGAAATCTGGTCTTTGTTAGCATAGGATGAATGAAAAACACCTTGCAATCTTTCCTTTAAATTAAACATTTGACCAAACAGAATAAATAATTATGAAAGAATTTAATTATGAATTAATGACGATATATTTGTTTTCGGCCTGTAATAATAATGCGAGGATTTTTTTTTTTGGCCTGCAATAATAATGCAAGGATTTGGACTTTGAAAATTTAAGGCAAGAGCTTCTGCATAGTTTTCGGCAACACTTGGTGCATGACTTAATTTCATTAGTTGTGCGTATAATTAATAATTGGCTAATAATCGCTGGGGGTGATGTCAAGAAAAAATTAGGGACAAATAATTGGATATAATTTAAATAAAATACAATAACATTGGGTGATTCGCATAGTTCACCTTATTTTGAAAAATAAAACTTCTTGTTGTAGTGATTAGATCTGAATTAGTATTGGCAGTATCATCTAGCTGATGGTTGTCACAAAAAAAAAAAAAACTTTTTACCAGGGAAAAACGAAAGGAAAATGACCAAAAAGAAACCTGAAAATTACTAATTCTTAAATTAAGTATATTTTAATAAGTTTTGATAACACTTCACTGAAAAATAACAACAAATTTTTGTAAGAATTAGGTTTTAACACCACGTGGCTTAGAAATAATAACATATTTTTGTAGAAATTTCTCATTTGGGATTATGCAATTTCTAAGTTCTTTTTTTTTTTTTTTGTCATCCTCCTAAAATGAATGCTTGACTCTGCTTCTCACAAAAAAAAAAAAGAAAGAAAGAAAACTTGAGCCGTTCTTGAGTCGCAGATTTAGAATCAGCCAAGACTAGTTCTTTTCCAGGATTTAATTTGGGTACTCATCATGATGATGATCATTAAATCTAGACAATTCATAAAAAAATTAGATGATCCAAATTTAACATAATTTTATTTTTATATTTTTAATATTTTAATATGTCCAGAATTTGAAGTAAAAATTATTTCGTAACTGTCAATTTTTTTTAAAAAAATATCTATTTATGAACTATTGGATGAAAAATGTTAAATATAAACAATTGCAACTATAATTAGAACTGCGCAGACCTTACCACAATAATGAGCATCGTAGTGTTTATATCACTACAATGAACATCGAAATTGGTTTCCTCTCATATTCATCGTTTCATAGTGTTTATATCACTATGATGAACATCGAAATTGGTTTCCTCTCATATTCATCATTTCCTAATGACTCTCAAGATTATATGAAACCTTCATTCAAAGGGTAAATATATAATATAACTAATCCTTAATTAGAGCTTGGTACAATCTGCAGGCTTGAAGGAAACAAGAGCCTCCTCAAGATCATAACCCACCAACCAATTCAACTGAGCCAAGTTCCCAAAAACAAATGGTCCTGAAGAAGCACCCATAAAAGCAAAGCATTCCACTTCCTCTTCCACCAAAATGAATGCGTTGAGTTCAAATAACTTCACATCTGCACCCTTGAAATGAACAGTAATGGCGGGAGCTCCAATGTCCTCAGCCCCTCGTGTCTCATAACAAAGCTTTAACTTACCAAATGGGTCCTTAACACGCTTTGCTGTCCGGTCCATCACTGCTGAAACCTCTGCTTCCAATTTGTTGTAGAAATATTGTGGCAAGAATGTCAATGTTGTCCCAGAATCTATGATTACATTGCCCTCCACCACTGCATCGTATAATATATCAACAAAGTATAAACATTAGTGATTTAGCGCATTAAACTGACAAAAGTCTACATTTCATCTTTTAGCTTTATACAATATTTCTCAGCTCAAAAAAAAGGTTTATACAATATTTCAGTTTGATTCTTAAATTTTATAGAGTATCTTTTAAATTCTCTGACCTTAATGCTATTAGTCTCAAAGAATGATTTTCTCGCCAAAGTTGTCATTGTTATTTTAAAAAATTAAATTTGATTTGCTAGCATTTATATATATTAATATGTCAACAATTGAAATTTTTCCAAAATAATATACTTTTTATTCCCCAAGTTTATGACAAGTTTTAATTTAGCCCTTAAGTATATAAAATGTATTTTTAGTCCTATAATTTAGTACCATTAGTCTCATCCAAGTATCTAAAAAATTGCCAACACAACAAATTGAAAATGGTTTCTCTAGAATTGAATGTTGATAAAGAATGATCTAAATTTTAATTTTTTAATATAATCATTTTTATAATAAGATATCTTATTCTTTAAAAAAATTTTAAATTTTAATATATAAAAATGATTATATTAATTAAAGAATTAATTTAGAGCATGATTTGTCAACATTTATTTATAGAATCATCATTTGAATATACTAAATTGACATTTTTATCAAATAAAATTAATGACGTTACAATTCATAGATTGAAAATACACTTTTTAAATTTAAAAGATTAAAATAAAACTTGATGTGAAATTTTAATGTCAATAAAATGAAACTAAACATATTAAGATTAAAGATCTGAAAGAAAAAACACTTCCTAAAATTAAAAGGACCAAAATGAATCCTTATGTAAAATCTAAAGTTGGACAAATGCAATTTTGCCCATTCAAGATGAAAATTAGCATTAGACAAAACGCAAGAATATTAAATTAAATCATTACCTGGTGTCAACCCTATTCTCTTGTTTCCCACGCTCATTGCTTCCAACGTGAGGTAATAGTAATTTGGTGGCGATTTTGAGACCATAGGAGTAGAGACAACATCAGATCCAGAAACGACAGCATTCTCACCAAATTTCAGTTTACCAGGAGAAGCCTCAAACGAAGGAACCAAACAGTACGAGAATCTTCCTTCAATGGAATTACTTAACTGTGAGGCTAACGATAACGGACCTCTTCCAAGACCAACAACACCAGAAGTCCCACGAGAAAACTTACTATTATTATGCCCACATCCAAATATGAACCTAGGAAACTTCACTTTCCCACCACTTGAAGATCCAAGTGTGAGTGTGTCAGATCTGATACTTCCCGCTGAAAAAGACCCACCTCCATATATTTGTTCATATTGGCACATATTAGAGCCATCACAGGAAGTCAGGAACGTCTGGTCACTGATTCGCCGGCAGATTTGCATCTTTGTGAATTGCAATCCACGTTTATATGAGTGGAAGAAAGTAAGGGTTCCAATTTAGGAGTGTTCTGTGGGTAACAAGATTTACAGGGAAAACACTGTAACCAGAGAAGATCACTGCCTGTGTCAATGAAAGCCCGAGTTTGAAATTCTGGGTTTCCTAGTGAATATGCCATTAAGTATTCACCTTCACTGGTAGTAAGTTCAGATACAGGATCGTCTTCTTGGTTGGTTTGTGCAGTAGGATTATTGTTATTACCGGGGAAGAAATGATTCAAACGCTTGGTGGATCGACGTAAAGCGTTGTGAATTTTCTGGAATCGTGTTGTGGAGTTATCGAACAAAGGAGAAAGTGGGGAATCACGGTGAATGAGGTCCACTGTGAAACCAAGTTTGGTTGCCTTGGCGTAAAATATAAAGAAGATGATAAAGATTGTGAAAGAGAGAGTATAGGGTTTGGATGATAAGGCCATTGTGGCGACTTTTCGAGATAGTTGAGAGGGGAGGATAATCTATATATATACATCCCCAAGGTGTTTTGTTTTATATAGAAACTATGGAATAAATTCAAATTAAGACTGAAGATACAGTTTTCGATGCTTATGGCACTGATAGTGTTCGTTGCTGTAATGAAATGCTGCTATATATCATCCAAATACGATTTCAAGGATCCTGATTCAAAATTTTCAATTAGTGGTTAAATGAAAAAAAAATAATTTTTTTTAAAAAGAACAAAAGATGAGTGTAAAATGCTCATCTTAACCTAAACTATTTATATTAATTTTGAATGACCGAATTCAATTTATTTTTGTAATAAACAATTTTTATTTTAAGGTATGCAGAATTTAAAATAAGAATAATCTTATAACTCATATTTCTTTCAAAAAAAATTATTATTGAAAAACCACATATGAAAAATTTTAAATTTGAACTTTACAAATTAGATTTTGAATTGTCTAGATTTTATTACAACAATGAGCGAGCTGGTTATTATAATGAGTACTAAATAGGCATAAAGAAGGATAAGTAATTAATGATAAATCAAGTCTTTATGATATGGATATCAGATCAGCTTGGTACAATCTGCTGGTTTGAAGGACGCAAGACTCTGGTGAAGGTCATTGCGAACGTGCTTGGCGCCTCTAACTTCAGATCCGCATCTCTAAAATGGACCGTAATGGCCGGAGCTCCGACATCCTCAACCCGGTTAGCTTCATAGCACAGCTCTAGAAAACCGGACGGGTCCTGAGCCCGGTTTAATCTCAAGCCCAACACTTGACCTCTGCTTCCAGTTCAACGTACAAACCTAGTGGCAAGAAAGTCATTGTTGTTCCAGCTGAATCTATGAATATATTCCCTTGCTTCACTCCATATATACATATAGCAAAATATAGTAGTTAGTATGAACATTAATGTTGTAAAGAACTGAGCTTGAAATTAAAGTACTAAACCTGCAGCAAGGAAAACTACACTATCAAATTATTAAACCTAAGAATAATATTAAGGGAAAGTAATCTGTAGATCAGTTCTTGTAGTTTTATCTGATTTGTTCCTTTGTAAGAGAAACACATTTGTAGTTAATGAGGTGACTCTCAACATACGACTGGATTAATTGTCACATATTTCTATATAAAATCACAAATAACTAAATTAAAGATTATGTAACAGTGCAATGATATTATTATGGGCATAATAAATTTCTTATTCTGTGGATAATAAATAATTTTTCCATCATTTTATTTTTTTTAAAAATCTCTTTTTTGGTGATAAAATTTTAGGCAAGAGACTGGGCTCAGTCATAAGCTAATAAGGGCAGGAAAACTAGCCAATCACACACAACGCAGTCACCTGTCGATCACACACTACCCATTTGGGTCATTGGCTGCGGTAGAGCATTAACCACATTGGAATTAGCTCCAAATTATATGCTTTGTCTGGTTGTGGATATGTCTTTCAAAGTGCTGCGACCATCTCAGGAATCGAGTACCTTCCTTTTAGTGAGAGTAACAACCCTTTGACTTCTAAACTTATGGTACAATGGGTTAAAAAATCTCTTTTTTATTTTGTATTTTGTGGCAACTTACATGTCCTTTAATCAATATCCACATCAGCCATAATTAACATATAATAAACAAAGGGACTGATACCTTTGAAGAAACCATAAAAAGTCAGTAAGAGAAGGAAAACAAACTTTAAAATTTTGGTTAAAAGTCAGGTAAAATTATAAGTAGCTATGTGTTAATTTTTTTCAATGTTGAATTAAATCATCATCTGTTGTCAACCCTATTCTTTTGTCTCCCACACTCATTGCTTCCAACGTAAGGTAATCGAGATTTGGGGGAAATCCCGGTAGCAAAGGGGTAGAAACAACTTCATTTCCAGAAGCCACAGCCTTCTAACTAAATCTCAGTTTGCCAGAATAAGCCTCATGCGAAGGAACTAAACAGTGCGAGAATCGGCTTTCAATGGAAGAATTGAGCTGTGAGACTAATGGTAATAGACCTCTTCCAAGTCCAACGATGCCAGAAGTCTGACGAGAAAATCTCCCCTTATTGTTATACCCACATCCAAACATAAACCTCGGAAATCTCACTTTCCCACCACTGTAAGACCCGAGTGTGAGTGTATTATAACCAATGCTTCCCATCGAAACTGAAATCCGATCACGATATATGTTTGTTTGTATTTGCAAAAATCAGAGTCACAAGTGATATTGGACACCGAAAGTACCGCAGATTCTCATCGTTGGGAAGGACATCTAACGTTTACATGAGAAGATGAATTTAATGGATCAAAGTTATCAATGTCTTGTGGGTAACAAGATTCACATGGCAAACACTGTAACCAAACAAGGTCACTGCCTGAATCAACAAACCCACGAGTTTCGAATTCTGGGGTTTCCAATGAATACGTCGTTAAGTATTCTATTCAAAATACAGCACTGTCAGATTCAGGATCATCTTCTTCGTTTGTTTCTGCATCAGTAATATTACTGTTGTTGTTGGGGAAGAAGTAGCTCAGGCTCTGGGCAGATCGACGCAGAGCATTGTGAATTTTCCGGCATGGTGTTGTGGATTTATCGAACAATGGAGATAGTGGGGAATCACGGTGCATGAGGTCGACTGTGAAACCAAGTTTTGTTGCCTTGGCGAGGAATATTGTGAAAGAACTTGAAAGGATGAAGATTCTGAAAGGGAGAATATAATTAAGTTTAGCAGATGGGGCCATTTTGGTGAGATTAATTTAGCAGGTAGTTGGTTTATATAGATTTGGATTCAATTTCAGACATTAAGATGTTCATTAATCTTCGTCACCGGTATGTGTGTGTGTGTGTGAGAGAGAGAGAGAGAGAGATTTTTCTTAAAAGAGAGTCAATCTGCAAGTCCACATAGTTCTATAGGATTTTAATCAGGTTTTCGTACTTCTTTTTGTGTCATATTCTTATTGCTTCACCTGATTTTTACTATAGAGGCCAGATTAAAATTAAAGTCAAATGAAATTAACAATACATGATATAAAGAAAGAAAAAAATGATAGAGGCGTGATTATAACCCGGATAAAATTATAAAAACTTGCAGATCAATTTTTCCTCTTGTTATATAGCATACTTAATTGTGTGAAAACTCAATTCAAATTCACCTTTGATGTTCACGTACCCTCATTCAAATGGTCCATTCAGTCACTTACTGCATATATATGTATGTGTGTGTGTGTGTGTGTGTGTGTGTGTGTGTGTGTGACTCCAGTTATTATTTGCTCAATGACTAAAAAGTTAGAACCACCAAAGTTTTTTATCCAATTAATATCCTAACTAATTAATTAACATTCATGAATGAATGTATATACCTAAAGGTGTATTTAAATAAGAATGAATGTATATATATATTGTGTATTTAAATATAACTAAAGGTGTTATGATAAAATGTATAGACCTCATTCACAATCAAATTCTTGTGCGTATGTACGTACACAAAGGCATAAATGTAGAGGATCAGGGATATAAATTTTGACGTTTACCTTAAAATGATCTAGGTGCCAAATCAATTAAAATATTATATATGTTTATGCAAGCAATACAGAGGTGATAAATACAAATACACACATAATATATATGTGTATAATTTTGCTTCTTCTAAGTATAATCTCTTCTAGTTTCTATCGTTGACTTTTTTTTTTACCAGCAAAGGAATCACATTAACTGAAACGAGCCAGGAGAAATAGTTCACTACAAAAGATAAAGGGAAAAGAAACCAAATGACAAGCTAACAGGTCAAAAGCAAATCAACTGGTCCCTTCCCTGTCATTCTCTTCAACGTGCTGGTCAAAACTGAATTCATTAGCAACAGTGGCTTCACAAAAAATGATATCAGCTAGAGGAGGTGGAGATACCAAGATTAGACTGTTAGGTCCCAACTCCTTTGAAGCTATAGCAGCCAGGAAATCGGCAGCAGCATTTCCCTCACGAGGAATGAGAGAGAAGCAAATAGAACTTCGATCATTCACCATTGCAAACAACTTAGCAAGCAAGCCTTGGAGTAGCCACAGACAAAGAAGCAAATATTTTTGAGTAATAGCAGAGAAAAGATCCTTACAATCCATTTCAATAATCACCGGGAAGTGTTGCCATTGAGTTGCTAGAGAGACAGCCTTTAGAGCAGCTAAGAGTTCTGCTTGGAATGCCGATTGAGCACTTACTTTCTCAGCCCAGCCTTTAATGAATAACCCCTCAGAATTTCTACAAACAACTCCTATACCAGCTCTTCCATTAGAATTATTAAAAGCACCATCACAATTTATCTTGAATGAGTTAGCTTGTGGTTTCCTCCACTTAAAGGAAGCTTTGGGCATCACATAGCTAGGTACTTTAGGGAGCAGGGAGTTTGCATTCCAGTATTCTTGCATAGTTCGATTAGTCATCTCGATGGTTTCTTCTGGTTTTGGGAGAACCTGTTCAAAAATCCATTTACAACGTAATTTCCAAATAGACCACAGCATAGTGCTTATATATGCTTTACCATAGTCTAACTCAGTATCGATCATCAATAGAAACTGCTCAAGCCAGAAAGAGATATTCTGGATGTTCAGAGGGGAAATATTGAGGCCCATAACACTACCAAGCCAAGCAACTTTAACCCATTCACAAAGCAGAAACAAGTGTTCTAAAGTCTCAGTATCATCTCCACAAACTGGACAGACTGGGTTTGTGGCACATTTCCGTTTGAATAAAGCATCCTTAGAGGCCAAAGCATTATTAAGGATTCTCCAGATAAAGCTTCTGATTTTTGGAATGACTTTCAGTTTCCATACAGCTGACCATATACTTGGCTCTACTTTCCTGGAGACAGAAGCTCGAGTAGCCATAATTCTGCCATTAGTAGCAGCATGGCTCAATCTGTAACCAGCCCTGACATTGTAAATTCCATTCTTAGCAGGGGCCCATAATAAAGAATCATCTCGAGGGGTACTAGATAGGGGAATCTCACGAATACATTTAAGAACAGATTCTTCCACTAGATTGGAGATAGCATGAAGATTCCATTGTCTATCTTGAATCAGCTGAGCAACCACCATATCTTCATTGATAGAAGGAGCATTATCCAGTGGCATTTTAAATTTTTTCATACCAGGAATCCAAGGGTCTTTCCAAACATCAATATAATGCCTAGTACCAACCTGCCAACACAGATTTTCTTTTAAGAATTCACACCCTACAAGAATACTATCCCAGACCCATGAGGCCTTGGATCCTTTCATTGCTTTCATGAATGAGGAGTTGGGAAAATAAATGCTCTTCAGTAATCTAACCCAGAGACTGTCAGGATTATGCAAAATACGCCATGCAGTTTTGGCAAGTAAAGCATTATTGAAACCCATAAAGTCTTTAAAGCCCAATCCTCCTTCCTTTTTAGATTTGGTTAAAGCTTTCCAGGATGTCCAGTGGATTCTACCAGTACCGTCCACATCACCCCAAAAGAAATTAGACACCAAACTATCCAAAGCATTACAAGATTTTTTTGGAAATTTGAAACAGGACATTGGGTATAGGAATAGCACTTATTACCACGGCCAGCAAAAGATAAGCATTTCTTCCTCCATCCTTGCACTTTCCTACCCATCCTATCACAGACATAGGCTAAAGCAGCATTTTTAGATTTACCCCAAAGGATAGGTAAACCTAGGTATTTACCTGGGTTGTCCACCTCAGCAATATTCAAACATTCCACAATATCAGTCCTCACTTCATTCGGAGTGTTCTTTGAGAAGAAAAGGCTAGATTTATCATAATTCACCCTCTGTCCCGAAACATTACAATAATCCTGCAACAATTTCATAAATAGGCTACAATTATCTAAGTTAGCCTTTAGAAAGATGATAGTATCATCATCAAACAAACTATGAGTGATCATCGGGCCACCTTTAGTAATGTTGATTCCAGATAAGTTGCCATGGCTAGAATGGAAGGATATCATAGAGAAAAGAGCTTTAGAAGCCAAAATGAACAGATAAGGAGAGAGAGGATCTCCCTGTCTAAGACCCCTCTGAGGAATAACAGAAGCAATCTTTCTCCCTGACATTTGGATATTAAACTTTACACTACGAACACAATTCATGATCCAGTTAACCCATTTAGAGCAGAAATTCCTCTTTAGCATAACCTCTTCAATAAAATTCCATTCCAACCTATCATAGGCTTTATTCATGTCCATCTTCAAAGCCAATTCAAATTTATCTCCGAAATTCTTATTTTTCAGATAATAGAATGCTTCATGGACAATTATACTGTTATCTTGGATAAGTCTATTAGGGACAAAAGCCCTTTGGTGCTCAGAAATACAACTATCCAAAACCACTCTCAGTCTATTAGCCAGAACTTTAGCAATGATTTTATAAGCAAAATTACATAAGCTAATTGGTCTAAATTGAGAGACCATTTTAGGAACATCAACTTTGGGTATTAAGATCAAGTTTGTTTCATTTAAAGGACCCACAAAATCACCATTTTAAAAGAAACTTCTAGCCATTTTGAGAAGAGAAACTCTAACCTCATTCCAGAAAACATGGTAAAAGTGACCATTGAATCCATCAGGGCCGGTGCCTTAAAAGCTCCAAGCTGGAAAGTAGCCTCTTTCACCTCTATTTTTGAGATAGGCTGAGTTAGCAATTGATTCTGGAAATCTGAGATTCTTGGTTGAATGTAATAGATGACTGTATCAAAGTGGCCTTGGGGGCTGCTGGTAAAGAGAGAAGAGTAGAAATATGCAATTAAACTCTCTATTCCATCTTCTTTCTCAATCCAGTTATCCAGATTGTCTTTCAGCTTAACAATTAAATTCCATTGCCTTCGAACCACAGTAGTTCTATGGAAGAATTTAGTGTTTGAATCACCAGCTTACAGCCAATTAGATCTACTTCTTTGCCACCAATAAACTTCTTCCCTTTGCCACACTGATTCTAACTCAGAGGTCAAACGCTCAATATTACACTTTGATTCAGCTGTATAAACTTCAGCCTTTAGATCTTCAATTTTTGCTATCAAATTGGCAATAAGTTTCCTATTGTTTGGAAACTTCTCTTTGCTCCATTTAATAAGTTTAACTCTGCAACTGTTAAGACAGTTAATAAAAGATACCACCCCATTAGATCCCTCAACATCTTCTATCTGCCAACAATCTTTTATTATATCCACGAACTCTGGATGAGAAGCCCAGACAGCCTCAAATTTGAAGGCTTTTGGAGTCCTAATATCTACATATCAAAGAACCACTAGAAGCATATGATGATCAGAGGCAACAGGTTCTAGGTGAAAAGCAAGGGCTTTTGGAAAAGCTTCTTTAAACTCACCATTACAGAGAGCACGATCTAATCTTTCTTTAACATGGTTACCGCCAATTCTTTGATTACACCAAGTGAATCTTGCACCTTTAGCTTCAATACCCATTAGCTCATAGTCAGAGACAAATTGTTGAAAATTAAGCACTCTTCTGATAGTGTGTAGGTTACCTCCTTGTTTCTCCTGTTGAGATAGAAGATCATTGAAGTCGCCTAAGTGGAGCCAAGAGTTTGTAATACCTCCCACTATATTATGCACCTTGTCCCATACTCTTAGCCGGTCACATTCTTTTGGTGGCCTATAAATAAAAGAAACATGCTTCGGTAAATCACACTTAGTAGAGCAGATAGAAGTATGGATTATATTTTTAGAACTACTCAAAATGTTAATTACAACTGAGTCAATCCACCAGAGGGCCAGCCCTCCAGATTTACCAATGGGGGGGACATACCAATTTTCATCAAAGTGACATTCTCTTCTAATAGGCTCCAAATATTTTTCTTTTTTCTTAGTTTCCATTAAGAAAACTATCTGAGGTTTATTTTTCTTTACCTCTTCTTTGAGGCTTTTAACTGCCAAAGGTACCCCCAGCCCTTGGTAGTTCCAAGCGAGTATACTCATGGCCCTTGGGTGGCTGATTTAGGACAGCCACCGGAACCTTTAGCCATATCAGTAGAATCACAACTTCTATTATTCCCATTAAAGGCAAACCAACTCTCTAGAAAATCAATTTCTCCCCCTCTAGATTGATCATCAGATGGTTTAGGAATAATACCTGATTTACAGTTTCTATCGTTGACTGTGTCAAGATAACAATGAAGGAATATTATTATTGGGGTGGTAAGTGAGAGCTTGTTCTGATTGTAAGAAAATTCAGGGCATACTCATATGAAACAAGCAGACGTTGAAATTTGCAATCAGGATTTTACTTTTCAGCGACAAGAGCGGGTGACCAATCAGAACAACGTGTAAGACGACGGTGACTGATCAAGGCATGAAATCGATCTTCTCGAACTCATGTCCACTAGTAGGTCAACTCAATGGGGAAAGCAAGGTGGGTCTTAAGGTTGAAGATGAAGTGCAAGAAGGGGTCCATGAAGGTGCAAAGTCAGAATGTGCAGACTAACATGGCACCGCACTGCTGGTCGTGGATGGACAGGTTGTAAAATATGCTAAGAGGACTACTCAGTTTCCATTGTCAAAGAGTATGCTTCAGCAAATAGCTTCTGACTTGCACTTTCCATCCATTGTCAGGAACTAAATGCTAAATGCCCAAATATAAGGATTTGAAACTTGATTTATGGATAGTTCTTTTGTTAGACCTAACCTCATTGGTATTTTATTTATATATTGAATAAATAATGACTGATGATATTGATATTCCGATCCTAAATACAAGACTAACTTTATAGTGTAAATTTCACTACAAAGTTAGTCTTTATAAGAGGAGTATGATAAAATTAGTTATTCACAAGTTATGTGGGCTGTGCTTAGAATGATGAATTTTTTTTTTTTTTTATAAAATAGAAGGATGAAATTTTTTTCCTAAAACATAAGTATTCTCTTATTAAAGACAATCCTATTTAAGACACTGTCGAGTACTAAATGTAGACACCTCTTTTATTAAAGGTTCACGTCTTGATTTAACCCACCAGAAGCCCATTATAAGGCCCAAGATGACCACCAAAAGTCGAAACCGGGTAAGAGAGGAGCAAAACGACGCCGTCACTGATCCCCACGTCACATCACGTGCGCGCCTCCTCCCGTGGGCCCATTTTTCACAGGAACGTTTTGTTTATTGCTTCTTCTTCCCCGAGATCCCGTACCTCCCCAACGTCTCTGTTTTCCTTTTACTGTTATTGTAGCCGTTATGTTGACCCCTTCAACTTCAGCTCCTCCTCCATTCCTTTATAATCCTCCCCATCTCTCTCTCTTTCCCCAATCAACCCCTCTAGCTCACTTCTTCTCTCTCTTCATCATTCTCCTCTTTAATCATCAAACACTCATCAGTATCAGTACTTGCGTCGATTCAGCTCAACCATGGCTAAAGTCGGCGTTCTCTTTTACATTCTGCTTTTGTTTCTCACCTCAGGTTCGACTCTTTTTGTTAACTCCTTTATGCCTTTCAATGTACCTTTACTTTTTTCCACTTGGCTTCGAAATCAGTTCGTGTATTGTGAGTCTGTGATGCGTTTGTTGTAATAATTGGATCACTTTTCTTCAGAATTTCGCCCTTTTGACTTTAGTTTTGCCAGTCCATTTTCTTAAAAACATGTTTAGGTTGCTTCAATTGAGGAGCTTCATTGCTCAAAAATGATTTCAATTTAGTGTTTGTTGTCGGATCTAACGCTGGCTGGCATCTCATAATTCTCACAGATTCTAAATCCCAAAATTGAAATTCTTTTCCCGAATTCTGCGTTTATATGTGAAATCGCATCGAGTTGTATCATCTTAATTATATCATGACTTCCCATAAAAAGCGAAGAACTGATCTTTTCCTTTTTCGCTCCTTACAGTGGTCCTAAAATCATTCTGGGAATTCATCTTGTCTTATTACATTTCCATGGACTGATCTCATTTGTCATTTTTCTTTTCACACTTGCAGGGGGGAATCTGATGACATCCAATGCCAATGGACTGGTAAGTAATTGACTAATTGTAATTAAAATACAAAGTTGCCTGAAAATTGAAACAATTTTTTTTTAAAAAAAAGAAAAAATTATCTTGGATCTCGTAACATGAATTGTGAAAGATCATGTGAACTGAGTTGGGGAGAAGGTCCTTCTTCTGTCCTTCTTCCGATTCCTTCCATTAGAGCTGGATTCTGTTGAGAAAAGATACTTGATCTCATCACAATTCCGGATGAAGTGGGTCTATTTTCCAAGTCAGGATGCTATTGTAAGTAATGCTGAGGATTGTGTTGTGTGTATGATGGAATAACAGAGAACTTGGTGCGTGGCAAGGCCTTCATCAGACCAAGCTACTCTTCTTGCGAATATCAATTATGCCTGCTCTCAAGTTGATTGCCGGATTATGCAAAAAGGGTGTCCCTGTTCCACACCTGATACTCTCATCAACCGTGCCTCCATAGCCATGAACCTCTACTTTCAGTCCAGGGGAAGAAACCACTGGAATTGTGACTTCAGAGGCTCTGGCCTCATGGTCATCACTGATCCAAGTAAGTTATATGCTCCTACACATTTCCTCAGATTTGGATATAAATTCTTTCTGTATGTATGTATATACATTGCAACATTATCCCTTTAAATGACTATTTATGTTGGGAGAATCCAGATCCATTTAGGTTTCAATGGGTATTTTGTTGAGAGTGATTGCAAGGGTGGTGAGGCCTGCCTGGGTTTCATCACTCTGTTTATATCTCTTTAGCTTGATTTTATGGAGGATGGATATATCTGTGAAATGGGATTTTAATGCCTTTCATTGTTATCTTGGAATTGCAGGTTATGGTAACTGCATTTATGCATAGAAGGTGGGATCACAAACAAGTGCAAGCTTAAGCGTTTAGTTGTTACCATATGCTATAGTTATAAATATGTACTCAACTGAGTTTTATCACGAGCGTCTGCCTGTTCATATTTCAATTTCCCATAGCTTATCCAATCAAGTTTAGCACTTTTCTTTCTTTGTCAATAATATACTAGTTTCTCTGAAGGTTTGCTGATTTTGGCTCTGAAAATGTAACTAATTGTAATATATTTAATAATTACTTTTTAATTTTATTCTTATTTAATTTTTATTGGAAAAAAAAGAGACATGACAATAATTTGTAAATAGAGAGAGATATGCGAGAATATGTTACAAGTAACTTATATTAAAGAACAGAATAATGCAGGAGGAATCCACAAAAAATGCAAAAGAAAAATAAAATTTGCAATTAAATTAAAATTAATACAATTACAATAACCAAGGATCACATGATCCTATCCTAAGTTCTTTCTTGCCTCCCTCTATCTCTTTTCAAAGATCTCCAGCGTAAAGCTGTGTTGAATGGTTTATGCAACTAAAATTATAAGTAGTAAAAAAAAAAAAAAAAAAAACCACCAAGGAGGAGCACCTGTTTGGGTACCATTAAAAAGGGGAAAGGGGTCCATTCAGTTTCTTGTGTCATTTCTCTCATTGAAAGTTGTGACTGCAATAGAAAGATGAGTACTAAAAAAAATTGTAAGGCGCTTAAAAAATAAAGTTAAAATTTTTAATTTCAATTAAGGATCTTTTTTTCCCCCTTCAGAGATCTAAAAATTATCGTTTTTAACTATAAATAATCTTTTTTTATGAGAAATGTTTATAATATTAGGCCCTTTCAATTTCATTTTCCCTTAACATTTTTGTGCTACACTTGTATATTTTAGGCTCAAATTTCAAAAACTGTTTTCATAAAGCACAGTACTTTGCTTGAGATTTAAAAAGGATTGGAGAGGAAGCCTAGGAGAGAATCCAAATGCAAGAGAGGAACACATGAAAAGACTACAAAAGAAAGTGTGGCAAAAGAGACATATGCTGAATAATTCACAAAGCAACAATGAACAAACATATGAAGGTTTTTTTTTTTTCTTTTTTCTTTTCCGGTTGAAACGTGGCATAAAGAATTCCAATTCTAAGAAGCACCGTGAGGTATGTATATCGGATACGGTATAGTATAATACGGTGGGTACATCTATGGGAAAAAAAACAGTGGATACATCAATTTTCACAATTTTAGGACACAGTTACCGATATGGGTTGTGTTTTCAAAGTAATATAAAGGCATTTGCAGCAATCAGGTAATATATTAAGTTTTCTCTTTAAAAAAAAATTGAATTAATATAAAAATATTTCGTCGGAAAAAATCATAATAAGTAGCGTGTGTTTATCTTTTTGAAGTATTGTTGTCTAGTACTACCTTTTGTTCTTAATAAGAGCTAATTAGAAATTCAATTTAGTTTTAAATATAAAAGTCTAAGGACATAATCTAATATTTATCTATTTTTCCCTAACTAACTCTGGTGATTATAATAATTATTTCAATACACATGATTAATAAGGGTATTTTAAAAAAAATATCTATTTATTACAAATAACTAACTTAACTAACTATCTTAATATTATAAAATTAGTTATCTAATTTTTATATTAAGAAACAGAACTCCTCCTCCTCACCTAGAAAAAAAGGAAAAAGAAAAAAGATAACCAAGTGGGTTGTTTTTGTCCCCTGGTCTTGGGCTTCTGGTGGGTTATATGATATGTCCACTTTCATCATTCTAAGAACAAAACCATTGTCCATGGAAAAATTGAGTCTAATAAAAAAAAACTATTCCATCACAATGTGACAAATTACAGTTAAAATTTTTACTAAAAGAAATACTCACATTTAATTTGTGATAATGTCTTAAATAATATTACCTTTAATAAGATGATACTTATACTTTGCCCAGAATGACAGGAAAAAAAGAAGAAGAAAAGAACAAAGCCCACTATTAGAAATTTTGTTACTTGTGGAGACCCAATTAGAGATGATAATGGAGTTTGGGTGATTGGTTTCCAATGTAACTTCAAAATACTATATCCAGTCCTAATTATAAGATTTTTTTTGTAATCTACAAATAAGATTTTATAATTAGGAATGGAGGTAGTATTAAGATTTATACAGATTCTTTTGAATATTCTTCATCTTCTGCCAGCAGATAATTGAGAAATGAGATGGCCGATTTACGATCTTTTGTTTTGTCCAGTTGGGATCTAGAGATTATACACTATCTCAGAGGGAACCATAGCTTTCTGTTGATATTATCCCGCGCGAAAGGCTCATGATGTGAGCAGCGACTTGATGATCTTGCAAGATCCTTGAGTGTTTTTGAAAGATTTGGGCGAATTTCTGGTCGTCTTGTTTTTTCTTTGTAGGTTCTATTTTGTTATGGCTTAATTTTCAAGGTTAATTTGTTGCCTCTGTATTTAACTGGAGAAAATTTTGTTACAACATAAAAAAAGACATAAAAATTGTCCGATGGTTAAAAAAAGGGAGAATTACTATAGAGTCTCACAAAAACATTTTAATTACTACTAAAAAGTCCCATGAAATAACAAAACAAATCTGAAGTCCTTAGGGACCTAAGTGTGAATAATCTGAAACGATTAATTATGAATTTGCCTTTAATGACTAAAAAGAAAAAAAAATCACCCATATGTTTGAATCCCACCCTCCTCCTTTGGCCCTCATCTCCTATTCCGTCAGCATCCTGCAACATGACCTCTCTACTGTTCTCACCAAGAGTCGCGATCGTCTTGGTCCACTCATGACAATCAAGGTCTTCCTCAAGAAGTTGTTCTTAAAACCATTTCAAGTTTTTTTATTTTATTGTTTTTGGTTGCAATTATTCAATTCATCAGATAGCAATTGATGCTCTGTTTCTGATGAAAATGAATGAAAATGACAGGTTTTTACTATCATAACTCCTGTAATACGATAGTTAAAGTGTATATTTGTGAACCTTATAGATAAAGTGTAAATTTAACCATCACATTACGGGGGTTATGACAGTAAAAACCTATCATTTTCATGAAAAACAGAGCATCAATTGCTATCTGATGAATTAAATAATTGCAACAAAAAACAATAAAATAAAAAACCCGAAATAGCCTTGAGAATAGCTTCTTGAGGAAAACCTTGATTGTCATGAGAGGACCAAGACGACCGTGACTCTTGGTGAAAACAGTGGAGAAGCCATGTTGCAGGATTCCAACGAAGTAGGAGATGAGGGCCAAAAGAGGAGGGTGGGATTCAAACAAATGGGTGAATTTTTTTCCTTTAGTCATCAAGGGCAAATTCATAATTGATTATTTCAGATTATTCACACTTAGGTCCCTAGGGACTTTAGATTTGTTTTGTTATTTCATGGGACCTTTTAGTAGTAAAATGTTTTCTGTGAAACTCTACAATAATTTTCCCTTAAAAAAACTTAAAAAAAAAAAAATTGGACGGGAAGAAAATTCCATCCCCTCCCTATTAATTGAAATGGGCTCGCCCCGTGAACGCCCCTGCTTCCCAATGAATCTCCATAGGACCGAAAGTTGCAATCATAAGTTCATAGTTTATCATCACTGTACTGTACTAGAGAATTGGTGATATTTGACAATTATTTTTCTAATAGGCCAATCAAACACATACGCATACGTATACGGGTCGTTGATGATCAGTATCACCAATTCATGAATCCAAACAAACAGCCACAACTCTCCCCATAAAGTAGTACTCCATTAGTTAGATTTTAATTCTTAATGTTTTTAACTAATGTATTCAAAATTTCAAATTCTTCTGAACCAAAGGATCGCAGTGTTTCATGATAAGATATATGAATGTACACGATACAATCCGACATGGTTTAAGAAAATAAAAGTTCTAAATATGGTTCTGTAAGAATGGAAAGGTTTGAAGTTGGCACATACAATTGGAGCGGATGATAATGGAATGCATTCTATGCTATTTCTCGCTCAGGAATCTCACCAACTTCCCTCTCTCCCTCACATGCATCTCTCCAATCCCTTCCTCTATAAGTTTTCTCTCCAACCCTAATTTTACAGTGAAGAGGAAAGAAAAGAAGAGAAGAGAAAAGAAAATGTTAGGATCAAAAAAGAAGGCCAAGTTCAAAGATTCTGATTTTATCAGTAATCTCCCTGACGATATCCTATTGACCATCCTCTCTCTTCTTCCAGTTGACGAGGCAGTGAGAAGCAGTATCCTTTCAAAGAGGTGGGTATCACTGTGGAAAAACACACCACATCTTGATTTCAACGTGAAGCACATGATCAAGCCCTTAACCCAGCTTCGAATTTCATCACCTGCTGCTCAATTACATTACGTCCTTAATCTTCCCAAATATGAAGGAATCCGCAGGTACAACATAATTGTCTTCTTGCTCTTGCATAAGCACCTAGGTGGTCTCAAAAGCTGCAAGTTCACGCATTTTCCACAGAAGGACATCCAGATTAACTTGGCTGTTTTATTTGAAAGACAGACAACGATCGATGAACTAAGCCTTGAATGTAAACCCTTGAAAGGAGAAAAGATTCAACGCTTTCTAGGGTTAGGTTCTTATGGGATCTTTTCCTCTTTGTCTTCACTTGAGGTTGAGAACTACTACCTAGAATCTTCAATACCTTTTGGGGGTTGTTTAAATCTCAGAACCTTGAAACTGAAGATGGTCTTTGTGGGAGATGAGACACTAGATGCAATTCTTAGAAGGTGTTACAACTTGGAAAGTCTTAGCCTTGTGGGGTGTTCTAAGCTCAAGAACATGAAGATTGTCCATGTGAAACTCAAGTTCTTGGAGCTTAGGGCTTTGTGTGTATATCAGATTATTGTTTCTGCTTCAAGTCTCGACGTTTTAGATCTTTCTTCTTTGGCTTGTCCAAAATCATCAAGCTTGGTGATTATTGCTCCTAGGCTTCGGGTGTTTCAATCTCACAACAAACCAATATCCCACGAGGGACTTGTTATTCGCAGAGGAAATTTTGCTCGGAAAACTCATGAGTTTCTGGAGACTTTAGCTATTATTCCTCCTGTAAGTTGTTTTCAGGAAAACCTCTTGGGGGTTGTGATGATGAATCTATTGGTTCATGTTTAATTTGAATCTATAAATATTTATTACAATGATATTATGACTTCTTTTTTTTTTTTTTTTGTTCGTTGGGTTACTTATTAGGGAACACCAACGAGCTACGTTTTTGGGGCTTCCCTATTATCCTTGATGGTTGACTTGGATTTGAAAATTAAAAGAGCCAACAAGACACTTTCATTCATATTGAGATGCTGTGTTAATTTGGAAACTCTGAAAATTATTACTCCGGTAAGTGACATTACACTAATTTTTATCTATTTTATTTTGGCAAAGGGCCCGTTTAATTATTTCTTAATTTTTCACGATACTTAAGAACAGTGATTATATATATCCATAGGTTTACAGAAGTTCAAAGCTCGACTTTAATGGTGATCTGCACTATCCGATGCTTTGGGAGAGAAGTGATGTTTGCCATTGTGTTCATCAAACCCTCAAGTTTGTGTCCATCATGGGATTTGCAGGAAACCAACTTGAGGCAGATTTTGTGAAGCACCTCATAACCAGAGCTTCTAATATGGAGAAAATCACTATCGTTTGTAAGAGCTCAAAGAAAGACGTAAGCTTTCTGGTGCCTCTGGAAGATCAGAGAGCTTCGGCTAATCTCTCCATCATGGTCAAGGTTGCAAGAAACAAAAGTGCCCTCATTGAGCTCAATGAACTTTACAAGAACAAGTCTAGAAATTGCTTCTTCATCAAGAATTGAACTGGAATATTTACAAGAATAAGTAGTGGTGTTCGTCATGTGAATAGTTATGCAATTTTTTATTTTTATCTGCTTATATGCTTAGCATTGATGTTGACTAATTTATTTTGCAAGGACGTTCATAATTCATATATGGCCGAGTTTGCTTATGTCTACATATCTTATAACTTGATTATTGGGAAAAATAACATTTCATATCAAACATCATTAGTGAATCTTTGGAGTGTTGTTTTTTTTTCTCTCCTTCAAAGTATGGTTTAACCTTTTGGGTTTGGTTCATACGATATGAGTGAGATGGATTACGATGTGGATAATGAATTTACACTTGGCATGTTTGTATGATCAATGGTGATGACTCACACTAGAAGGGGAAATTATATTATTGAAATGTCAAGTAGTGTACATGATGAATTTGGCTAATTGGCATGGAGAAAAATCATATATTAAATAAAATTGGGCTAGAAGATAGATATATAATTTAAAATGGCCCATGTACTCAATGTTAATATTCTGAATTAAGATATGAGGTCGAGTTCACTTATATCTATCCGATCCTATTGCTATAAATCCAGGCTAAACTTCAGGATGCTCCCCCGGCCCACACTTAGTTAGGTGCTAATGGGGATACAAGCCAAAGAAATGCATGGGAAAATTAAAGAAGAGAACGAATAAAAAAATTCTTTGTTTTCTATCATTTTATCCTCCAATTTGTTTTAAACAAAGGAAATTCAACTCTTCAAGCTACTAAATGTTATATTTGAAATTAATACTCTCTCTCCCTTCCTCATAACATCCCCAAACAACTTCATTCTCATATTGAAAGCAAAAGCAGGATGACCAAAGTCCTAATACATGCGGGCCGGGCAACCATTTATAATAAATGCATTTAATGATTTTATGAGCGCACCTCAATATTGAGATTGTTATTTGGGGCTATAGTTAATGCAATTAAATGAAATTTAATTACAATACATGTGGGGAGATTGACTCAATTTTTCATTTATTAATGGGCCTACATATAGGGTCTCCTATTTTATCTGTTCATGAACCTGCGCAAGTTCAATGAATATATGTGATTTAAATTGATTGTTGTACTCTAGTTACATGAGATTTATTAGGTGAATTTTATTTGACAAGATTGACTTCATCTCATTTATTATATCATGCCCACAGGTTTTCAGTTTTATAGGTATGCTCCCCTAATCCTATTTGCAAGGCAAAGAAATAGTGTTTGTTACTTCTAACATATTTTATACAGACAAATAAAAATATTAAACTCTATTAATTCTTATTTAAAATTCAACAACTTTTCTATTTTATCCCTATCCAATGTATAATATACTACATGAAAACAAAGTCAACAAAATAATAAATAGAAGATAAGATTGTATATTCATATGCATATTCATATGAAAAATTTCTCTTTCTATCCTATAAATAAAACCAAAAATTTTCTGATCTCTTTATCCTATAAATAAGATCATAGTAGTAAAAATAAAAGAAGTGCATTAAATGTTTGACATATTTAATATGTAACTTATAAAAAGAACCAAACTTATTAAATAATTGAAGCTTATAAAAAGAATTGGAGGAATTATACAGGCTCAATGAATAAATGAGTTAGTACTCAAGTCCTCAATATAAAAAACTTATAATATATACTCATATACTAAGAAATGCATTAAATTAACAAACTTTTCTAATCTTATCCTTATTAAAAATCTCTATATATACACACCCAAATTATTCTCATATATCTCTATTCTTTCTCTTTTTCCAGTAAAAATTAAATAAAAATAAAATTAGAAAATAAATATTAAATATATTACAAGCGACTTATACTTAGAACCAAAGTGGTACATTAATTGTTCTTGTAATTAAATGAGAGTACAATTAGTTACACTTTGTTTGGGGAGGTTGCCTTCATCTCATTTACTCCCTCCACTTCCTTGTATTTGTTCTTTTTGGGGGAAATTGAAAATTTTGTTTGATATTAGATCATCAAGTCCCTTCTCAATTCCACCAATATTTAATATATATCATATTTCCCATTTTACCCTTAGAGTAAAACGATGTTTTTAGAGGCATTGAAGTACTGTTAGAAATAAAACGAGGGGCAAATTTGATAAATTGCATCATATATTTATTGCATTTCTAACTTGTGTATAATCGAACTAATATATAATAATGGAACAACAGAAGGAGTACTACACATATTAAGCCTATACATAACCTATATTAAGCCTATACATAACCTCTCCTATTTTATTTGTATATATATGAACCTACAGAGGTATAATGAATAGAGAAGAATTAGATTCCAGTGTGCTCCTCTTTGAACCCATAAAGCTTCTTTTCCCAACTATGGAGTTTTCCTTTAACCTTTTTCTTTCAATACAAGGATGGTTTTCGTATGCTTTGTTTCTCATGCTAGCTAGTTTGACATCATGCCTAACGGAACCAGTTTCGGTGCTCATCCATTTGATGAGCATTATAAGCTAATCAGATCTGAACCGTTCATATTTCATTTGGGTGGTTCAGATTTGATTTTTTTTTAATTTAAAATAATTATTTTAATATGTATAGAATCTAAAATAATGATGATCTCTTAACTATCATTCTTTCAAAAAATAGTTTATTCTATTTAAAAATAATTAATTAAAGATTTTAAATTTGGACTGTTCAAATGAGATATAGATAGTTCAGATCTAATAAGCTTATGGTGCTCATCAAAGAGATGAGCACTGAAACTGATTCTTATGCCTAACCTTAAAATTCCCAAGCAAACACAACATAACTGAAAAACCTGGGACACCCAAACTCCCTCCTGGCCCTCAACCACGGACTCTTGTTGGAAGCCTTCCAGAAATGGTCGCAAACAAGCCCGTTTTCAGGTGGATAGACAAATTAATGACTGACCTCAACACTGGTATTTTATGCATACGTCTTGATAATTACTTTGAACTTCAATCTTGAGCATCTATTGTTTTGCCAGTATCACCGCTCCCTCTCCAATAGAACTAGTTTCAGTGCTTGCTGCAAATGTTCATCATAATGGTAAAATCCGCACCATCAATTTTTTTTTTGTGGAAAAAACGGACATTTATGATACTATCTTTATATCACATCTTGTACCCACATTAAAATATTTTTTTAAAATAAAAATAAAAAGTTATATCTAAACCAATCAGATTAGATTTTCACGGTTTAGATTTCAGTGCTCATCACCCCAAACCCGCTTCTGGAACTGAAATAGTATAATTTTTTTCTTAGGTAACGTTCACGTTGTGCCGGTGTCGTGCCCTAGAATCGCTTGTGAATTCTTAAAGAAGCAGGACGCAAATTTTGCTTCAAGACCCCTAAGTACGGCTGCCGAACTAATCTCAGGAGGATATTTGACGACCACTTTAGTACCCTTTGGGAAACAATGGAAGAAGATGAAGAAAGTGATAAGCACTGAACTGATTTCTCCAATGAGACTTCGATGGCTTCATGACAGAAGAGCTCAAGAAGCAGACAACCTGGTCAGGTACGTGTATAGCCTGTGCAATAACGACGACAAGAAAGAAGGTCCGGTGAATCTGAGGTTAGTGTCGCAGCAATATCGTGGCAATGTGATTAGGGATTCAATAAGAGGTATTTTGGGGAAGGAGGGAAAGATGGAGGACCTGGATTTGAGGAAGAAGAACATGTGGGGGCCATCTTCACACTATTATGGTTTCTGTATGCTTTTTGTGTTTCTGATTATATGCCATGTTTTAGAGTGTTTGACTTTGATGGGCACGAGAAAAGGTTGACCAATGCTCTTGAGAAAATTAAGAAATATCATGATCCCATTATTGACGACAGAATCCAACAATGGAAGGATGGGAAAAAGAGGACCTGCTTGATGTTCTTATTTCTCTGAAAGATGCTGATCGCCACCTGTTGCTAACACCAGAAGAAATCAAAGCTACAATTATAGCAATTAATTTTATACCCTGATTTTCTTTAATTGTCATCTCTAGCCATATCTTTAATTCACATATACATCTTATACATGTTACTTCAACTTCTACATAGAATTACTGAAAAAATTTTCATATTTATAATTTAATTAAAAGTCTTCATTTTACTTTAATTTTCTTGTAAGATATTAAATTGTCATTTTGCCAAGGGGAAAAAAAACATATATAGATTGGGCGGACAAAACTTGTTTAGTCTTTATTCTCATTAATTAATACGAGTGATATACTCCCTTTCTATATCTTTATTATCTAAGACACCTTTAAAAAGATATAGATGATCCTTATTAGTAGTCACCAAGTGGGGTCCTTATTATAGCAATTAATTTATACATGTATTTCTTTTTTTTCCCCCATCCATGTCTTTAATTCGCATATACTCACTTCAATTCAAAATATAAGTCACCTTCTAAAAGGATCTTCCTTAATCCAGTGAGGTGGTTAAAACTTAAAAGTGACTTATATTTTACAGCTGAGGGTGTACATCTCTATGCAAATGTACAATCAATGTGACTAAGTGAATTAATTTTTGCTTTGTCTTGTTGTTGGTGCAGGATGTGATGAATGCAACAGTAGATAATCCATCAAACGCACTTGAATGGGCAATAGCAGAAATGCCAAACAAGCCTGAGTTATTAGAAAGAGCAACTCAAGAACTAGACGATGTTGTTGGAAAACACAGATTAGTACAAGAATCAGACCTACAAAAACTCAACTACATCAAAGCTTGTGCAAGAGAAGCCTTTCGTCTTCACCCAGTAGCACCATTCATTCCTCCTCACCTGTGCATGGCCGACACGGTGGTCGGCGATCACTTCATCATCCCCAAAGGCAGTCACGTGATCCTAAGCAGAACAAGGTTAGGTCGAAACCCTAGAGTCTGGGAAGAAGATCCTGACCAGTTCAAACCAGATCGCCACCTTAAAAAACGGACACATGATGATGATGATGTCTGTTTGAGTTTGACAGAGCCAGATTTAAGATCCATATCATTCA